AATATTTTTATGTAGTGCTGAGGTTTGAACCCAATGCCTCACATGCATTAGGCAAGTGCTCTGCCACTGAGCTGTATTTTTCATGAGGAAAAAAAATGCTATTAAAATTATTTTAAGGGCTGGGGATGTGGCTCAAGTGGTAGCGTGCTCGCCTGGCATGCACGCGGCCCGGGTTCGATCCTCAGCACCACATACAAAGATGTTATGTCCACCAAAACCTAAAAAAAAAAAATATTAAAATTCTCTCAAAAAATTATTTTAAAATTTATTTTGTTTTGTAGATAGATATAAAGATAGCATTCACTGTGGTCTGTTTATACATGCAGACTGTACTTTTGTTCCACATTTCCTCCTCTTTCTTTCCTTCTCCCTCTCAATCTTCTATTTTGTTGACCTTCTCTCTGTGGTATTCTATTGTTTCTCCTATTGCTTAGTTAAAGAATTTAGGGCTGAGTATGAAATGCTGGATTTGAAGTTTAGTTCTGGGTCTTAAATTTTTTAAATCCTAAAATTTGACTTAAAAAATATAGTGAACTCTGGTTAAAAGCACTTTTATTGATTACAATATCAATTCACAACACATTATTTCACAAAGCAACTATACAAATAAAGGAATAAATCACTGTAAGAAAGATCAATGAATACTGTTAAATCATGTCACAAGTCCACAGTTGTATAGTTTAAAGCTTTTATAAGAGGCTTTAATCTAGCAAGTTTACCTTTTCCAAAATTAAACATACTACTGACATTCATAGTCAATTTGCCACAAGTGTGTAGATAACATCTAGGTGAAGAAAAACATTTTCAAAATTCTGTAACAAATTATTTTAATCAACTTGACAGTTGACATAGATGCCTTTGGATAAGAAAATGCAAATGTTCAGATGCTTCTTTGAAAGAAAACAATAGGATAGAGCACCATTGTGTAAAAGACAGAAAGGCTTGAAATATCCTACCAAGTATATCACTGAAGTTATGTTAATTAAATAAATATGATGTAAGATTTTGTTGGGTACATTTAATATGAGTTCGAACACGTTTTTCTTAATGTTGCATTATCATACTGTATTTTACAAAATCATTGTACTTAAGAAAAGTGACTTTTTAAGAAAGTTTTGTCAACATGTAAAACATTTGCTAAAATACAAGGTGGTACCATCAGTCTGATAAAATTTAAAACAATGCTAGCATAGACATTCTAGAAAATATTTTAAGGTGTACCTATTTTAACCAATATTTTAAAATATAGTACTGAATTTGAGCCAACACAAGATGAATAACAAGAAAAACTAGTAAATCTGAAGTATATTTCATATCTACTTAATCCAATTTAAGATAACAGTTTTATTTATGGGACTACATTTCCTCATTAAAAAGACGGTCTCACCTGTGGATGATTTTAAAAATTCTCACGGGAGGTAAGAAACAACTTAAAATTTTACTTCCCACAGTGGCAAAAGGGAAATGTGAAGCTGAACATAATTACAAGCCTGACGTAGGTTCTAAAGATTCTAGAAAGAACATTCATTGCTAAAATGACAAGGAACCCATTTAGGGGACTGTTTAATCAATTTTTCCAAGTTAAACTCATCAACAATAAGGAAAACGTATTGCATTATAATTTAAAACTTTAGACATTCACATCAATTCCTAAATTTCCCTGAACATTTTCACTTTTAAAACCAGCAGGGTTGGAGCTCAGTTATATATATAGCAATGGCACAGCATTTTTCTTAAGTTTTTTTTTTTTTTTTTTTTTTTGTAGTTCTGTATGGACAGAATGCCTTTATGTGGTGCTAAAGATCGAACCTGGTGCACCTCACATGCTAGGCAAGCATTCTGCCACTGAGATACAGCCCCAGCCTGGCACAGCATTTTTTTTTTTCTTTTTAACCAACAATCTGTCACCTGGAGAAAAGAACGTTTAATAGTTTAAAATCCAACATTTCAGAAACATCTACATTTATTATCTCAGGGAAACTAGCTTATACTACCATGCAATATTAATCAGCTCAGCTAAGTCTAAATTGAKAATTGCTTACTAGGTTCTCTAGCTACTGAAATACTAAGCCCATACCTCTGCCTCTATGAATTTAGAATTCAATATGGTGTATCACAACTTAAATTTTGAGCTAGGAAGGACCTTGAATATTTGGTCAAACACTATATCTGCTAAAAATGAATCCTGTCCAAAGTGAAGGAAATATCCTTGCTGATGACAGGAACTGCTTTCTTGAGCAAGGATTTGGGATGATTTGCCTGGTGATTATGGAGCTTTAGAAAAGAACATGTTCCTTTAAAATATTCTTGCCAGAGGGATATTGTGCATGTGTGTGGTTCTACTACTTAGGAAGCTGAGGAGGATCCCTTGAAGCCCAGGAGTTTGAGGCCAGCATGGGCAACATAGTGAAACCCTATCTTGTAAAAACAGACCATTCCCTAAAGATCTCAAAAAGCAACTCTTTGATATAAAGAGTCTACATGTCACCTGCTGAGGCACATTATGTTTACATGTTGCTTAAAAAGGTAAAGAAGAAAAACTAATAGGTACCAGATAACTGCAATGGTTTTTTTTTGTTGTTTGTTTGTTTTTGAGAGGGGGGCCAGGAATTGAACCTAGGAACCCTTAACCACTGAGCTATGTCTAGAGCCTTTTTTTTTAATTTGAGAAAGTGTTTCACTAAGTTGTTGAGGCTGACTTTGAACTTGGGATCATCCTGCCTCAGCCTCCAGAGTCACTGGGTTTCAGGTGTGCGCCACCACACCTGGCTGCAATATTCCTGATGATGCAAATTCTTTAAAATTGAACTGGCCATATTTTTAAACCTTGAAAAACTTAAGATCCAAACTGCAATTATATACTCTGATTTTAGGAAGTCTTATGCACAAAAACAGAATTAGAAATTCAGCTGAACTCAAACTACAAATAAACAGATCTAGCAACTGGAACCCCTAGCACTAGAAAGCTAAAGGTTTCATAAGGTAGTTACTGTTGTAATTACACTACTTTTTCACCAACTGGTCCTATGTACAAGTGTTCAGTTGTGGTCAGTTTTCAGTTGTCTAATACGAGAATTGCTTTAAATTCTCTACACAAAGAGTAACATTAAAATAAATGTCATTTAAAAATGTTAAGACCATAGGATTCTAGCATGTATTATGTTTTTCTGACTAAAGTCTCTTGTTTCAATAACTTTTAGCAGAAGATAACATACATATGTACATATATATCTATATACACACATATCTATATAAGTTTGTGTGTATATATACAGTTACTATTACAGAAGTGCTTCCTTGAATGGTATTTTAGAATGAACTACCTTTTTTTTGGAAATGGATATGTTCCTTTAAAATGTGGCTTATCTCAAAGAGCTACTCTTTATGAAGTGATATAAATAGTTCACAAATAATAATAGCAAAAAGTTGACAGTGATACTAATTAAAATACAAATATACACTCACACCTGCCATCTACAATATTGTTTTGGTCCTTTATCTTAATTTGCCTTTATCCTTTTATTCTCTATTATCAACTGGCCTTAATAAACAAAACTGACACTGATTTCATTGCAACTAATGCACATTTTAGCACATTCATAATATAAAAATGAAAATTTATAGGTACAATTTGGGTGTACTTAGGTTAGGGTTACAGGTTATCAAAAGTTAACACACAACTATCTGAATACACAAATATCTGAACAATAACTTAACAGTTTACCAAGTTACAAAACAACAGTGCACTGCTATATATCAGAATAACCCATGACTTAAGCATCAAGCAAGACTAACAATCTTCTATTGTCAATCATCTTTAGATCTACTTGTAGGAAAAAAATCAAAGAAGTGAAGTATTATTGTTTAGATTGGTGGAAGGGACATTGTAGTAACTGACCTATTATACTTTTGACAAGTAGAAGAATTGTGTGGTATATTTTTCTGACTTTCAGGCAAAAGCTGCTTAGAATTTTTTTTTAAATTTTGCTTTCAAGTAGAATCACTTAGACATAGATAGTCTTTGAAGCAAAACCACTTAGAAACCAGTATTTTGTGGGATTGAGAGAAGATTACTATAGGAGAGCAAAAAGCTTAAATGTTTCATTTTAAGAATTTGAGAGAATAGATATAAACTATCAAATAAGATTTTATATTACATAGACAAAATTCATAAAGCCACCTTATTACATAACAAATCAGTGCTAGCAAATAGTTGAAGTTTATACTTCTCTGAAAAATGTTAATGTTGTCACACTAAATTTTTCATCTAGATGTATGYTAGTAAAGAATACTAGGACAGAGTCTTTAGATGCAGGGACAATCCAAATGTTTATCAAACTTCTGAAACATAAGTAAACCCCTACAACTTAGATCCAGAATATGAAATCAAGAGGAAGGTGCAACTCAAGAGGAAGGACTACTCAAAAGTGGCAATTGATCATGATCAGTCTTTTAAAATGCCAAGAATTATTTATATGCTAGTATACTTTTTACTAATATAATAAATTCTAATGAAGTTTCTTAGAGATGTCCAAAATGTCAGAGTGAAATCTCTATCTCTGGCTATTATAAAGTGAGCACTTATTTAGACTGACATCATGGCAAAGAATGCACTAATGATTCCCGTCTTCTACCCATGCTCTTAGTAAGCAATCAGTATCCCTCTCAGATTAAAAAGCAATTCAGGATTCAAGGGGACTTCCCTCAAACAGCACACACACGTACAGTATCACTTCCATCTATTATTGTGCCTTCCATTACAAAACTCAAAAATGTGACATTTCTTATGTATAAAAAGTTTAAAATGTAGTTCTTACCAAATGCAAACACAATGACCAGCTGCTATAAAGTGTACATTCTATCCTACATAAAGAAATAATTAAACTCAGTACGAGCAAAAATTCCTCAATGTTAAATTCACCCAACTTCTCAAATTAATACACTTGGTCCTTCTGATTTTCACAGGTACCTTGCCTTGCTTGTTTCCCCCATTTTTTTTTGTAGTTTCCCAAAAGCTGCTTTTGTATATAATAACTCAATAGAAAAATCTTCACCTGCAAATAAAAGGTAGATTTTTTTTTCACAGCTATAGGCTGTAGTATTGATTTCTCCAGATTATCAATGGAGAACAGAAAATATGTATGACACTGTTAATTCCAGATTCTAAGAAAACTGTCCCAAGATCCTGTTGCCACAGCCATGCCATCATCAGTCACACCTAAACAGCTGACACGGTTGTCATGACCAGCGAGGACACCTAAAAAAAATAGTTCAATACAAAGTTAGCAACCATCGTTTTAGTATTTAAAAAGTATGTACACAAACATTTTAAAGGTATGTACCCTGCTATGTACTCTAGCAGGGTAACCAGGTTCCTTTGAGTGGGCAGACCGAAATAAGTTAAGACGTATGTAAAACACACCTTTTTGTATTATTTGAATTGTTGATATATACATCAATTTGTTTTTAGTTTTTAAAAAAACATTCTGTAATTAAGCTATTTTATATCTAGAAAAACCACAGTTTACATCACTGATATATTCATGATATTTCAATTTTGCTACTGAGCTGTGCTTTCAACAAAAATAAAATTTTAAGTGAAGTTCAATGAAGTAGACTTTTTGTTTTACAAGAACAAAAACATGAAAGTTGCCTTCTATCTCTATTTCCAATACCAACTATATATATTTCTAGAAAAACTGAAGTTTACATCACTAATATGTTCATGATATTTCAATTTTGCTCTCTCCATATATAGAGTTTATTTTGTTATCCACCAAACATAACTGTGGTTAAAATGTTGGTTATAACTCTAAACCATTCAACTCAATGAACTTTTATTTCATCTTAAACTCACTTGATATCCTGATCACTACACAGGATAAAATGAAGTATCCATTTTGGAGAGGGTTTGGGAATGAGAAATGTAAAAAAAAAAAAAAAAAAAAAAAAAGTTTTTTTTCAGTACTAGGGATGAAACCCAAGAATGCTCTACTACCAAGCTACCTTTCCAGCCCTTATTTTGAGACAGGGTCTCACTAAATTATCAGACTGACATTTAACTTGCAATCCTCCTGCCTCAGCTTCCCAAGTTGCTGGGATTACAAGTGTGTACCACCAAGCCTAGCTATAAAGTTTACTTTCTAATGGCTCCCAGTTTTTTTTCCCTAAATCAGCCCTCAAACCAGCAGCTAGATTATGCATTCCAGGTAGAAAAGTAAAAGATGCATCTGGGGTGGAACATGGCTAGTCCAAAGAGGGGCAAAGGCTGTAAGTTATACCACAGGTTCCCCAGTGAAAGCCTGGCTAGATCATCCTTTAGTGAGCCCTACTGTCATCGCACCCAACCATAGCTGGATATATGGAGTTTCAAATAGTTTTGGTGCCTCGTAAGTATGAACAAGAAGCCAAGAATCACTAGTCTTTTAAGGAAATAATCCAAAAATAAGGACAGGATAGAACAAAAAATAGGAACATAGAAAAAAAAAACAATTTGGAAAAACAAAAGACTATGCTTGAAGAAGAAAACCTTAAGAAATAATTCACTAGTAATCTCAAAGAAGCAGAATACATCAATCAGGAGAAAAATAATAGATGCCATAAAAATGAGAAACAAAAACAGCTCTTAAAAAGATGGCAGCAAAAATGGAAACCAACACTTAAGGGTTGAAAGAAAAGATGAAGATTCCAGCAACTCAGGAGGCTGAGATGTGAGGATCCCAAGTTCAAGACCAGGCCCAGCAACTTAGAACAACATCATATATATAGTTTATCCTTCAGCAACATAGAAGACCATTAACTCAAAAAAATCAGAAGGACTGGGGATCTAGCTCTGTGGTACTGCTCAAGACCCTGGATTCAATCTCCAGAACCACAAAAGCAAAAGTTCACCAAATACCCAGTGCAATGGATGAAAATGGTTCTACTCAAAGACAAAAGAAAATCTGAGGATTCATTAGTGACCAGCTCATCAGAACCAAAAAGATAAAATCTAAAAAAATCAACAACTCCAGAGAATACAAAAATACTGTATAGCAAAGGATGTCATTTATACCTCATTGTTCAGTAGTAAACACTTCTTAAAAAGTCATAATTATATAACACACAATGCTGTTGTTTATGAATGTAAACAAAACCAGCTGTAAGGGAAAACTGGAAGATGGGAAGCATGTGACTACTGAGGGAAGAGGGATGCTAAGCCATACCCTTGCCATCCATGACAGTAGTTCAACAGAGAATGCCTCAAAGTTTCTTAAAAAGAAAAAAATATCAAGTAACAGCAATATAGTCCTATTTAAAGATATGGAAATAAAAATCTAAAGTAGCTAATTTGGAAAGTGGAGTATATGGGTTAGAGTCAAAGATAACAAGTCACATAGAAACATTCAATTGCTTAAATATAATTTAAAGTAAAATTTTGATTTTTTAAATAGGAAGGACAGCAGAATAAAACAGACACTACTATTGCTATATGTATATACGTGACTGTACGACCAATGTGATTCAGCAACCTGTACACTCAGAAAAAGGAGAAATTATACCCCCATTTGATTCAAATGTATGATATGTCAAGGTCATTGTACGGTCATGTGTAACTAATTAAAACAAATTAAAATTGCTTTAATTTGTTATTAACCACAGTCCCCAATGTGGCTTGATTGTGTACTCTAATATTTGGGAACCTGCAAGGGAGAAATCCGAGAATGAGACTAAAGGAAGATAATAGGTCTATATTCTATGCCCCACAAGATCTGTTCCAAGAGGAAGACAACCCACAGCAGTTAAACTACTTCCTGTCAGGTTTTTAGAAAACTGAGATTTATTATAAAAATCATATTCATTATTCATCTTTATACTGAAATTTAGCAAACAAGAAAATATTATGGAACTTAATGTTACTCTTCAGAACCTTAATAAAAATACAGACGATAGTTTGTAGGTCCTCTCAAGTGTAATGACAATGAACACGAAGGCTCTGAAGCTCCTGGGGACTTATTTACCAACCTGCACGATCTCCTTTCAGCGTGTCCCATACGTTACAATTAAAGTCATCATAACCAGCCAGCAGGAGGCGCCCACTTTTTGAGAAAGCTACAGAAGTGATTCCACAGATTATATTGTCATGAGAATACAACAACAACTCTTGGTCTGCTCGGAGGTCAAAGAGCCGGCAAGTAGCATCATCGGAGCCAGTGGCAAAGGCATATCCATTTGGAAAAAACTAGAAAGAAAAGCAACACACATTTATTCCACATGTGTACATGAAAATCATGGGAGGCAGTACAATAACAGACTGGGTCAAGGCAGATCTAGTCTAGAATTCCAACTTTGTTACTTACCCTGTAAGTGACTGCTAGACACTAAAGAGTTTTAAATATTCTGGGCCTTAGTTTCAGAGTTACGATTGAATAAAATGACATATGCAAAGCACCTAGTCCACTGTTCAGCCCATAGCAAATGTTAATAAATACTGGCTCTGCTCCTTTGCTATGTTTATTAAAACACTGAAATCAACAGGGGATAGAGCAGGGAAGTGCTGGGGAAGTGATACTGGTCAAATTATATTGTTACATTGTGTAAAAAAACACTTAAGTCATGTATTACTATTTACAGAATAAGGTGGCATGTGTATTTAAGTATAAGTGCATATGTGTGTGTGTGTGTGTGTGTGTGTATGTATACATATATATATATGAAGATTTTTGAATATTTGGATATTTTGAATATATATAAAGAAATATTCCAAAATCATATTATGAGATATAGAAAAGATTTTATAAAAGAAAACATAAAACATTACAATAATACTAGGCAATAAATGAGTAATAAAGAAAACTATGTATGGTTAGTTTGTGAATAATATTTCTGATACTGGGACTATACAACAATGACTTTTTTACAAAGGTAAAATCACATTCTATATGTTTATCAGCCATCTATATTATTTTTTATGGACAGATTTATTCATGATCTTTATGTATTTTCTTCCTTTGGGTTGTTATTTTTTTGATTTATGGGAATAAATGAATGTAAATTCATCTGTTTTCTTGCTTCAAATGTTACTTTACAGTCTTATTGTTTGTCTATTAATATTGTTTACTTTAAAAATATGCAGCACAGGAGGCTGAGGCAGGAGAATCACAAGTTTGAGGCCAACCTTAGCAACTTAGTGAGGCCCTAGGCAACTTAGTGAGACTCTATCTCAAAGTAAAAAATAAAAAGGGATGGGATATTGCTCAGTGATTTAGCATCCTTGAATTCAAGCCCCAGTACAGAAACACACAGAAACACACACACCCACACACACACACACACACGCAGTAGTTTTACATTTTTGTGCAGTCAAGTTTATCTTTCCCTTGAGATTTCTTCCGTTGCTTTCTATGAACCTTCTCCAGGTTGATAGCTGATAAATGTTATGTTCATTTTAATTTCATTTTTCACATCTTAATTTTTATGCATCTGGAGCTTATTCGATAAACAGCATTCAGTGTAAGAATCTAATGCAATTTTCTTAATAGTTCAGCAATTGTTCCCTCTGTTAACTGATTTTTCTATTTGATTGAAAGGAAAGAAGGAATTATGGAATGAAATTGACAAATTTTTGCTAGGTACACATTTGATTTTTAAAATAGTTTTTGTAATCCAGAATATACAGTGAACTTTTTTCTTTGGGTTTCTAGATAGCTAAACATACCTCTTTCAAATAATATTTTTCCTAGTTTCTAATGCATCTCTTATTTTCATTGTAATCAACTATACTGGGTGGAAGTTTCAGAATGATTTAAATAACGGTGATAGTGTTACTGCTGTCCTCTTGCTACCAGGTGAATGCCTTTGCTGTGTTTCACAATCCAGGTGTTGGTGGGGTAGGCAGTGTTCACAGGTTAATCAGTTTCTGGAAATGCAAACACTTGTAATGCTTTTTAGGATGGTGAAAGCTTGGTCCTGGTGGAGGTAGTGTCTCCACAGTAAATGAGCAAATTCTTTTCCTTTTCAAACTCCTTGAGGGCTTGATAAGCCTCTCACAATTTCTTCCTTCCAACTTCTAAGCATCCCTTCCTCAGTCATCCCTGACTACAGTGCCGTTCAGAAGGTCCTCTGAAAAGCAAGATTTTACCAAATCCTTACAGCCCACTCACACTCTAGTATTTCTGATCATTTGCTTTCATTTTAATAACAGCAAAACACTCTGTCATTCCTTTGGAGAAAGTCCAACACTAACTTACATGTCCAAATAACTTACATGTCAAAGAAGAAATGAAAGAAAATTAGAATTCTGAACTGAATGAAAATGAAAACACAAAGCATCAAAATTTGAAGGACATAGTTTCAAGCAATACTGAGAAAGAAATTTATAGGTGTAAGCTCCAGTATTAGAAAAGAAAATAGTTTCAAATCAATATCGGTTTCTGCCTTAAGAAACTAGAGAAAGAAAGCAAATGACATCCAAGTTTCATTCAATTGAAAAATAATAAAGATCTGAGTGAAAAATCCATGAAACAGAAAACAGACAAACAAACAAACAAAATAGGGAACATCATTGGAAACAAAAGCTGAGGGTTAGGGATGTGACTCAGTGGCAGAGCACTTGCCTAACATGCAAAAGGCCCAGGGATCCTCAGCACCAACCAAACCAAAAAAAAAAAAAAAAAAAAAAAAAAAAAAAAAAAACCTCCAAAAAACAAAAGCTGGTTCTTTGAGAAGATAAGTAAAACTGCTAAGCTTCCAGCTAGAACTATTCATTTTGCTAGGGCTGCCATAACAAGGCATCATAAACTGGTGGTTTAAACAACAAAATGTGTTGTCTCACAATTCTGGAAGCTAGACGTTCAATATCAAGAGGTCTGAGGGCTGTGAGGGAAGAGCCCATTAGGCCTTTCTCCTCTGCTTGTGGATGGTCATCTTCTCCCTTCTCTCTTCATATCTGTCTTCTCGTTATGCTCAGCTGTCTTCAAACCTCCCTCTTTCATAAGGACACCAGTCACTTTGGAGAGTGGCCCACCCAAACCAGGAGGACCTCATTTAGGTAATTACATCTGTAATAAACCTGTTTTAACAAGGTCACATTCTAAGTTACTGGGGCTTAGGGCTTCAACATATAAATTTTGGATGGACACAATTCAGCCCACAGTACCAGACTATTTAGGAAAAAGTACAAATTACCAACACCATAAAAGAGAAGGAAAAATCCTACATATTCTACAAATATTAAAAGAATAGTAAGGAAAGAGTATAAACAATTTAAAACCAATAAATTTGACAGTGTAGATGATATGAATCCCTTAAAAGATACAGACTACCAAAACTCACTCAAAAAAAAAAAAAATAGGCCAGGTACAGTGGTGCATACCTATAATCCTGGCAACTCAGGAGGCTGAGGCAGGAGGATTGTAAATTCAAGGTCAGTCTCAGCAAATTAGCAAGATCCTGTCTCAAAATAAAATTTAGGAAGGACTGGGGTGTGTCTCAGTGGTAAAGCTCCCCTAGGTTCAATCCCCAGTACAAAAAAGAAAAGAGCCTACACCTAATATGACATAAGATCTGGAGTTTAAAATCTTTTTGAGGAAAACTTCCTGGCTAGAGAGCTTCACAGATAAATTCAGCCAAGTATTTATGAAGCAATAACAATTCTATACAAACTTCCAGAAAGCTGAATAGGAATAGGAGGGAAGGCTTCCCAACGCCTCCCCTGAGGCCAGCATTATTTGATACAAAAGCCAGACAAAACATTTCCAGAAATGAAAAATAGGGCAATGACTTTATGAACAGGAATGCAAAACTTCACAACAAAAATTTCAGCAATCAAATCCACTAATATATAAAAAGAATAATGCATTATAACCAATTGTGGTTTGTCCCGGAAATGCAGGGGTGCATTAATATTTAAAAATCAGTGATAAATGTCAATTAGCTTGATTTAATGCATTCCATGGTGTGTGTATATATGTATGAACATAACTATGCATTATAAATATGTAAAGATTTTATTTGTCACTTATACCCTTTTAAAGCTGGGGTTGGGGAGAGCCTTGGTAGGAACAGCTGCATTTGGTCCTGGGAATGAAATTAATAATTCCAATTTATAATTATTAACAATACTTTTACTGCCAAGAAACACATGGAGGTCCCACAAATATAAACTCAAGTATAAAATTTCAGAAACTCAGTGAACTATTCAGTGAGGTTTAAATGGGTCTTGCCTACAAATCAGATATTATGGCTTGAGTTCCTAGCACACGATAAACAGTATGAGAAAATTTTGGGGAAATTAAAAGTCACCACTGAATATAACTAGAAAGTGAAAATACAATAAAGTTGGTCATAATTCCATCTGAGACAAAAAAGGAATCATATCTTCTTTTGAACCATTTGACAGTGTGGATGATTCCAAAAGAAAGTCTCAATATTTATTTTAGTAAAGATGGTGATAACATCCAGCCCACCTCCCTGCAAAAAGCAGAAGAAAAATCAATCAATGTAAATTCACCATTTTAACAGACTGAAAAGGGGAAGCTACACACGACCATCTCAACTGATGGAGAAAAGGTACCTGATAAAATTCAATGCCCTTTCCTGATTTCAAAACTTAGTGAATTAGGAATACAAGAGGACATCCTACCTGAGAGACATGCTGGGGTGAGTCCGGAAGGCTGGGCTTGCCAGCTCTAAGACTCTCAAACCAGGCTGACCTCGGGGTGGGGGTAGCAAAATATTTACTTTCTCTGATGTTCTCCTTAAAATCATGTAAAAATGACTTTCAACATGTAAATGATAAAAACTTAACCATATTTTAAATCTGAAAATATTTTCTTATAAAATTAGAATGTCTTATACATCTGTCTTTGGTGACAGTGGTACTTTTGGAAATCCCAGGCACATCTATACACTTTGGCATCTGACGTACATAGGGACATTTGCCTGTGGCAGAGTCCCACATCTCCTAACACCTTCCCCTGGATCCTCACCATTGATAATTGTTTTGAAGGCTATTCAGAATGTCACTTTTGCTTTATCCTATTTATAAACACATATGACTAGTTCATTCTCACATATACTGAGTACTTTTTGTCTGGCTTAATCAACTTACAGTTCTCTGTTTTTTTTGTTTTTTGTTTTAAATGAGAGCTCATGCAGACAGTAAATGGCAGAACTAATATTTAATCCCAAGTATGGCTCACCTCAGAAGCTACACTCTTTACACTAAACAGCTGCCTTTTCATTTGTTACTGGTCTCCCTCCAGGTTGTTCCCTTTGGCCCAAGAGAGTTGTTTTTCTCATCTGAACACACTGCTGTGTTCAGATGAGATTTGGTCCTGCTTCTTCAAGGTGAGCTATCCCTCTAATTTGAAAGGAAACCTGTATTTTGGGTTGGGAGTGTAACTTAATGGTAGACTCCTCACCTATCATGCTCAAGGCCTTGGGTTCAATCCTTGCACCATATAAAACAAAAATAATTCTTATGTTTCACCTGCAAATGAAAACCTCTGGATTAAACTTTTTCTCACATCAAACACTATTATTTGGAAATTTGATGTTAAAAGAGCACATTATTTGTAAGAATCCTTGAGAGCAATTTTGTTATTAAAATCTTGCCACAGAGGTCAAGACTTTAAATGCATAATACATTTTTTAAAAATTGCAATTTCAAAACAAACCAAAACAAAAATGTGATGCACTTACACTGACAGCATTAATATCTGAGACGTGTCCTGTGAAAGACTGTCTACACATTCCATCTCGAATATCCCATAATTTGGAAGAGGCGTCACAAGCACCAGAAACAAAAGTGCGCATGTCAGGACTCAGAGAAAGACTCATGACATCTCCAGAGTGCCCAGTGAATGTGGTGGTCTGCTGGGCAGTTTCTATGTCCCATAAAGCACTGTAATTATAAAAAAAACAAAAAAACAAAACCCTCAATGACCAGTATTGTGTCTGCTGTTAGCTCCTACAAACTACCCTCAACCTCCAATCAGTGTACTTCTGGGATAAACTTACCAAGTTGTATCTCCTGAACTTGTAACAATCTGGCTGTCATCTAAAAAGCGACAGCAGGACAAGTAACCTGCAGCACAGAAAGTAGAAAATTTTAGGTTATATCACTGATGAAATAAGCCAAGTATCACATGGAATAGTAATATTCTTTCAAAAATATAACACCCGGGTGGCGAGTGTGTCTGTATGATCTATAGTTCTGCTTTTCATTACTTTAACTCCACACGGTCTGCAACTAACTTGTATCAACAAGTTCTACTGAGGCACTCAGTACCTCAATAAAATTGGGCACTCTGAAGGTTACAAAGCTGACGACAACATCTAAGACAGTTACCCAGGAAAGAAGATGCTCCCTTACACACCTAATTACAATCCAAGCTGTTAAGAACCTGGGAGGAAACCTTAAAAATGCAGAGAGAAGTGAGAACATCCATGGAGGTTTTATGAAAGATGTAGCATATGAATGCCCAGCGTCTCTCAGTACTTCATAGTATGGAGATGGCAGGGAAATACTGTGCTAGAGACTTTTGTAAAAACACAATAAATAATTTTTATAATGACAAAAATTCAGATGGGTAGAAATCAAAGGAGTGGCAATAAATTCCTAATTAACACCACTAACCAAGTACTACACTACAGAACTGTGAGGTGCACACTGGCAAATAAGGCAAGCCAATATCACACAGTGCAAAATGCTCCTTTCATGTATTATCATACATACTTTTGATTATATAACTGAGTAGAGATGCCACAAATCCCATACTTGTTGCATGGTAGCAGAAAAGATATATAATTGCATTGTCTTTTTATTTTATATTTTTCATGATTGTTTAAATTTTTATAGTAAATTTATCATTTTTACAGGAATAACTGCTATTTTCAAAAGAAAAAATAAAATTGTGGGGAACTGGAAGTAGTACAGTTACTTGGAAAAGCATGTGGTTAGCATGCATGAGGTCCTGGGTTCAATCTCTAGTACCCAAATAATATTAAAATAAAATTAAGGTCATTGATGTTTTATTGTTTTTTGTATAGGTGTTATAAGTTTTTGTCATTTCTTAAGCTTTTTAATATTTTAATTACAATGCCCTAATGTGAAGAAGTTTGGACTTACATATATTACAAGGGAAATTAGTTTATAGTAAGATTAAGAGGTAAGTAAACTGTCCATGAGAATAAAATTTTCTCTGAACAGTTTAAAAATGAAATCACAAAAATATCTACTTGAAGTGAAACTGGAAGTTTTGTACTAATTTAATCCTTAATCTACCTTTTCATTTTTTTATCAGTGGAACCTTTTAATTGTTCCTTCTATATTATTCTTCTCCATGCTTGGCTTACTTCATTACATGACTTTTGTTGCAGACAGTGTGAGTGTACTAGATTTGTTTGCTTCTATCTAGTCTATTGTTTTAAGTGTTGTCAGGAGGACTTTTGGTTGACCAAGTAGTTTTGCAAAGTCTTTCTCCACCTGGTAACATATGAATGTATAGAAGTAAAGCTAAAAATTGCAAACCTTGTTTTACTTGTCATACCCCTTCTGTTGTTTATGAATTGATGTTATTTGAAAGCTTTTTTTAATGTTAAAAACAATCCAAAGAGAGAAATCTTTACAAAGATGCAAAAAAAAATTAAGGTCATTGCATGCATGATTTTTAAAAGTTATCATTTCCCTATTTCTATTCTTTCCCCATTAACACTCATCCTTTAGTCAGTTGAGCCCAATTTGTCATGTATCTTGGGTCAGTGAAGTCTAGGGAAGAAGCAAGGTGGGACAGGAGAGAAGAGTGTTTAGTGATGCTCACCTGTGTGACCTGGCAACTCTCGGCTCACTCTCACGTTTCCCTCTCTGGTTTTTAAGTTATATATAGAGCAGATGTTGTCCAGACCTCCACAAGCAACATAATTACCAGATGGGGCATAAGCACAGGTCATCACCCAAGAAGATCTCAAAGGAATAGCATGCATCTRTGAAACAAATAGAACCCACAAACTATCACTATGGAAAGATTACAAACACAGTCATTTATTTTTAAAATCTACTTACAATGAAGTAAATATTATTAAAATTAAATACATATAAGAAAAATAAGCCAAATAAAAATATGACAACTTGAAAAAGTATTTATCTTTCAAAATTATCAAATTTAAAATACCAATCCACATACAAATGCCTTTTACTATTATTTCTGCATTATTAAATCATTCGGAGTTAAGAAGTATTGTTTTTAGAAATTTCTTTTAGTACAAGCACGGACATAAGGGTGTTCCAATGCTAAAATACCCATCTGAAACATTAAGTGGCACGCAAAAGAAGAATCTCCTCCATAACACCGAACAATAAAAAGGAAGGTAATTAACAAGTATCAGTTTGTTAAAGAGGTTCTTTCACAAAGAGATGACACTAGCATCCCTGCATTAATAGGCACAGATTCTGAGATCTCACTCAAACAATGGTAATAGTTGTGCGTAGATCTAGTCACACCTGTCTGGTGACTTGACTCCAAACTTCTGCAGGTCACATGGAAAAACTGAAGGTGTCTGGAAAAACAAAGCTAAATGCTCTGCATGGGGAATGAACACATCCCATGCCTACTACTATGCTCTTCCTTAACCTAAAATAATGTTTTTGAAGTGCAGTTTTTAAAAAAATGGAGTTGAAAGAGACATGCTTAATGCCCATTAATACAGAAAAACTGTTATATAGTTATCTTAGCTAGCTTTAAAATCTCAAGCAGCTTGGGGTATAGCTCTGATAGAGTACTTGCCCAACATGTGCAAGTGTTGATCAACACTTTTGGTGCTGTTGATCAAACACTGGGTTTGATCAACAGCACCAAAAAAAAAAAAAGTAGTTATTATTTCACTAAATAATTACTGGGATTATTATAAATATAATGGGATTCCTTCCAGTGGATATATTAAGAGAATCCTGTATTTGACCACCAAGAGACCTAAACAAGTTGTAATTTGCCTCTAATCTACTATATCTTCCAATTAGTTCAGAACCAGAAATCAATGCCTAGAGTGGGCCAAGGAAAAGCTTTAGCCATCTAGCTTACCCATCTAGCTTACCCATACTAGAAATAAAAATCTCTGGGTCTTTCACATTAGAATATGGGATTTTAAAAAATAATTTATGTAAAAAAATTTCTAAAATTTCAATATAAATTAGGAAATTCAAGCCAAACACTCTGAACAATATTCCTGTAGTTTGTCCTTGGAAATAAAAAAAAAAAAAGGACTAAACATTAAAAGCAAACACTAAGCCTAAAGAGAGGATCTAGATTAAAATAAATAAAATGTAATCTCAGAAGGCAAATAAAGTTTGAAGAAAGAATAAAAGAAAGAATTGGTGGACAGCAAAACAAACATAAGATTACTTAGAAGAAGGATTAAGAAATTCTACCTTATTTGTTGTATAGCTATCCCAAATAATTAATTTTCCATCTTGGGAAGCACTTACTAGTAGCCTAGAGGAACAAACACAAAAATAATTTGATACTTAGAGGAAAAAAGAGTTCAAATTAGTTATGCATTGCATTAATGTAGGACAGTTCAGAAAAGAAAGTAACAAATTTTTCCAATAAAAACCTGATACCAAGAAATGTTCTTCCAACTTTTAAAAAATTTATGCTACATGTCAAAAATTTTGAACATACATCATAAAATTTAGCAATTTGACTGAGAATGTCTGTGGCTATGATTCAACATCATTTCAAGTGATTGGATTTATCAGTCATTATTCAAGGTTTTGGTAGACATTAGCTGACTGGCTGTCTCATTTAGTATTACCAATTAAATTGAAAGGCAGTAGAGTACATACAGAATTAAAGGTATACTTCATTCAATCTAAACACACCAACAGGGATCTGTGAGTGCACTGCAGTGTCACAGGTACAAATGTGGCCCTATCTCCATCCTTGAGTTCTCTACCATCTGGAGGAGAAAAGATGTTTGTGTATATTTATAATAAGTCAAGGGAATGAAAACTGTCACAAGAGTGGTATAAAGTACATCCCACAGGAAAATAAAAGAGGAATGAATAACTGCTACTTGAATTAACTAAAATTCAGTTGGTAGAGTGCTTTCCTCACATGCACAAGGCCCTGGGTTCAATCCCCAGCACCACCACCAAAAAAAAAAAAAAAAAAAAAAAAAAAAAGAGAGAGAGAGAATGCATCTTTAAAAATGGAATTAACAGCTAAAGATAGAGAAAACTGTGTATTCTAAGGGTAGGGCTGAAATATGATCAATGACAACAGGTGGAAAAATACAGTGAATGTTTCAGGACTGGGTCTTCCAATTTTGTAGTTTGTGAAAAATAGGAAACATAAGCTAAGAAAAGTAGACCAGGTTTAACTACAGGAAACATTATTTGCTAGACTATGAGGTATAAACTCTTGACTAAGTACTTATTAGTCATTGAATTTTTAATTTTGTTTCACCATGATATAAAATTTAGAAGATTAAAAAAAAAATTACCTTGCTAAGCCTAATCCCCAGCAGCTCATCTGAGTTCCCTTCCCCTTAGGAAAATAACATCATTTCTCTTTTTTCTAGGGGCAGGGTGTGGGGGCGGGTGGTGGTTACCAGGGATTGAACTCAACCATTGAGCCACATCTCCAGCCCTATTTTGTGTTTTATTTAGAGACAGGGTCTCCCTGAGTTGCTTTGTGCCTTGCTTTTGCTGAGGCTGGCTTTGAACTCAAAATCTTCCTGCCTCAGCCTCCTGAGCCGCTGTGATTACAGGCATGTGCCATTGTGCCTGGCTATCATCAGATTCTTAATGTTGTAAATATTAATTTTGTTGTTACAAAAGGGAAGATCTGATAGTGGAGAATAGGAACCCATGGAAAATTCTTCAAAAATCAATTGGCATCATCAGTTTCAGAATGGGTAGGAAGACAATGTGAGGCAGGTTCCTGGGGGACTTGTTTGCTTTTGAGAAAGAAAGGATGACTAGTGTTGTTTCAAGTAACAGGATTTCAGGTTAAAATTCTGCTCTATCAACAAGGCACATTATTTTTACCCTAAATTTTTTTTTAAGAAAAAGAATACAGTATTTGCCTTAGCTTTATGTCAATTATATAATCTTATCTATCCCCTCCTAAGAGGCACACAGGGTATATTACTTCTCTGTATCCCATTTATATCCAAGAGAAACAAGTGAGGGAGGCTTTCTCTGCTTACAATTTTAGTGTTTCTTGGAAGCAGAGAACACATGTGCAACTTTTATTAAACAATATTTTCTGACATTACACAGTAAGATGAACTAAATCAAAGAAACAAGGTGGTCTCTGAGGCAGCAGGCAGATTTACTACTGCCAGATGTGCTGGATAAAGTGGAGGCTGAACTGAAACCCTAGGAACACAGTGAACAGTGGTAACCAACCATATATCCTGTAAGCCACAGGTGTGTCCAGATGTGTATGTGTGTGCACCTGCTGATGCTCAGATTTAATTTGAACATATGCATTTATATGTTGAGTTGGGGGAGTAAAAAAGATGTAGTGAATAAAAATATCCTTGTTTCATGTAATTCGATCCTCTGTGAACTGAGGTAGTAAGAAATTGTAGCAATATCTATTAATTTGCACACAGTGTTCAATATATATTTGCTTATTAACTGAAAGGGTTAATATATAATAAAACTGCTTGGGGCATATTAAAAAAACAAAGTATAATACCCTACTGCAAAAAAAGAAACCCTCTTTGAAATAGTCTTCCCAGCTCATATGATAAAGGTCTTTTTGAGAAGTAAACTGGCTTTCTCGATTAAAAGTTTTTAAACTTTCAGGCTGCAGATATAGCTCAATGGTAGAGGATTCAAGAGCCCCTGGGTTTGATCCTTGCACCAAAAGAAAAGTTTGAATATTCTTAGTGAAAATAAAGTGTTCAGGGGCTGGGTGCGGTGTGCATGCCTGTAATCCCAGTGGCTCAGGAGGCTGAGGCAGGAGGGTCTCAAGTTCAAAGCCAGCCTCAGCAACTTAGCAAGACCCTGTCTCTAAATAAAATGTGAAAAGGGGCCCGGGATATGGCTTAGTGGTTAAGCACCCCTGGGTTCAATCTGCAGTACCAAAAAAAAAAAAGAAAAGAAAGTGTTCGTATTGGATGCATATTCTGTAAACACTTCATAAATATAGTTTGTTTTTAAACAAAGAAAATGCAAATGATGATTCTTAAGGAAAACAATTTGGATGACAGATTGAAAGTGAGAGGCACAAACCTTGAATCATATCCCCAATGCATAGCATAGATTTTAGCTAGGTGGCCTCTCAGCGTACGTCTTGTTCGCATTTGTATTCGACCCACAGAGTCCATATTTGATGTGATCTTCAGAAAGCAATAAAAATGTTATTCTTTACTTTAGATATAGTTCAGGAGATAAACCTGAAATATTCAATTAGTAGGTGATAAAAAGCAGATATAAAATTTATAGTAATTTTCATTCAATATAAATAATTCTGCAAAATCATTATGGGATCAAAATGCTGTTCATAAAAAACTATGGTTAATTTAAAATAACCCTATGTGTCCTTATAGGCAAGACACTTAACTAAAAAGAACAGATAAACCTCTAAACTTTAATCAAATATCAGCTACCCTAGAGTCTAGGAAGGGAAGTGGGGACTGGGGGATTGCTTAATGGGTACAACAATACAGTTATACAAGACAAATAGGTTCTTATGTTCTACAATGAAGTACAGAATATAACAGCCTACCTATTATATATTTTATAAAAAAAAACTAGAAGAGAGGGCTTGAAGCTTCCCAATACAAAGATATAACTGTTGAAGAGAAGGGAAATGCTCATTATCCAGATTTGACCACTACAAATTGTGTACCTGCATCACATCATCACATTGTACCTGTAAATATGTACAATTATTATGTATCAATTAAGAAAATTAAAAAAAGAAAATTTGCAATTAAACACTCATGAGGATAATCTCCAAGTCATCTGTATCAGTGTCAAGTTACTTCATATGAATCACTAAAACAAATTGGGGGGGAAAAACTTTACCTGAACAAGCGTTGCATCATTACATGCTTTCCTGGCATCCTGAAACAAACAAAAAAACATGATTATAATCCATTTAGATGTAGAATCCTCTAGATCTTATTAACACTTTATTGAAAATGTAGATTTGCAAGTAAATTTTTTTTCCATACATATAATCTTTATTTAAAATGATTTTGAGCTGGGCATAGAGGCACCCACCTGTGGTTCCAGCAGCTTGGGAGGCTGAGGCAGGAGGATTGTGATTCAAAGCCAGCCTCAGCAATTTATCAAGGTCCTAAACAACTTAACAAGACCCTGTCTCTAAATGAAATTTTAAAAACGGATAGGGATGTGGCTCAGTGGTTAAGTGCCCCTGAGTTCAATTCCTGATACCAAGGGAAAAAATCATGTTTTAAAATAAAATTTACATAACCTAAAATTAACCATTTTAACCATCTTAAGATATATGATTCAGTAATTTTTAGTATATTTATAATGCTGTACAACCATCACCTGTATCTAATTCTAGAACATTTCTATCACCTCCCAAAAGGAATCCCATCCATCCTATTTCCCTTTTTCCATAATTTCTCTGTGATTGCTAATCTTCTTTCTTTCTCTATGGATTTACCTCATCTAAGACATTTCATATGTGGCCTTTTTAAATATTTGGCTTCTTTTATTTAGTATAATGTTTTCAAGGTTCAGCTATGTTATAGCATTAATCAGTACCTCATTCCCTTTTATGGCTAATATTCCATTATGTGGATATTCCACATTTTGTTTATCCTTTAATCAAAACTGATATGGGTTTTTTTCCCCCACTTTTTGGCTATTACAAAAAATGATGCTATGAGCATTCATGTACAAGTTTTTGTGTATAGTTATGTTTTTAATTCTTTGGGGTATTAAATAAGAGTGAAAATGGTGAGTAATATAGGAACTCTGTCAAACTATTTTTTTAATATTTATTTTTTAGTTGTAGTTGGACACAATACCTTTATTTTTGTTTATTTATTTTTATGTGGTGCTGAGGATTGAACCCAGGGCCTTGCACGTGCTAGGCGAGCGCTCTACCACTGAGCCACAACCCCAGCCCTCTGTCAAACTATTATTCACAGAAGTTATATTACATTCCCATCAACAATGTAGGAGGTTGATTTCTCAATTTCTTCATATCCTCACCAACATTTATTATCATTTATTTTTTAAATTATAGCCATTTTATTAGATGTGAAGAGGTATCTCATTATGGTTTTGCTTTGTTGATCAATGATGTTGAGTACCTCTCTCGTACTTATTATTGGAATAATGTCTATTCCAGGTCTCTGCCAGTATTTCAACTGGGTTGTCACTCTACTGTTCAGTTGTAGTAGTTCTTTATATATATATTGAATACTAAACCCTTATCAGAGGAATAATTGATAAATATTGTCTTCCATTCTTTCAACTGTCCTTTCATTTTCTTGATTGTGTCCTTTAGCACACAAGTTTTTAATTTTGATGAAGTCCAGTTTATCTTTTTCTTTTGGTGTCATATTTAATTTTCGTAATCCAAAGTCAGGAAAATTTACAACTATGTTTACTGCCAAGAATTTTGCACTTTTGAATGTTACATTTAGGTATCATTTTGAGTTATTATTTATATATGGTGTGAGATAGGGGGTCCAAATTCTTTCCTCTACTTGTGGATATCCAAGTGTTCCAGTTCCATTTATTGAAAAGACTATTTTTTCCCTATTGAATGGGTTTGTTAAAAATCAGTGGACCATAAATATATGGATTTGTTTATGGACTTTCAAATTGTAAACCACTGTACAAACTTCTTTATTTACCAGGGATTGAATTTAGGGGTACTTGACCACTGAGCCACATCCCCTGCCCTATTTTGTATTTTATTTAGAGACAGGGTCTCACTGAGTTGCTTAGTGCCTCACTTTTGCTGAGGCTGGCCTTGAATTCGGTCTTCTCCTGCCTCAGCCTCCCAAGATGCTATGATTACAGGTAATGTAATCCCACAGCGCCCCACTCCAACATATTTTTATTTTATGATTTAAAGACTTGCAAAACTGTATCCTGATATAAAATTATTAAGTTGATTTAATAAGCTCACAGTATTCAGAGTTATATTTATTATTAAGGCTTTAGCAGAAAGTAACATTTATTTATACAGGCAACTGTTATTTGTTGCTACTAGGAAGAAAATATTTTAGATCCAATATGCAAAAATATATCTCAGAAATTTTGAGTTGGGGATCTAGCCCAGGCCCTTGCATTTGCTAAGCATATGCTCTACCACTGAGCTATATCTCCAGACACAGTAAAATGATTTTTTTAATGTAATAGCAACAATTTACACTGAGTGACATCCATATTTTTATAACAAATTCCTTCCATGTAAGCAGGTGTTTATGTCTTAATTATTATAAGGTATTCTTTCAGTGAAACCTTAAATTTTTATACAAACAGAGGGAAGATGATGAAACAGAAATCAACATAACAAAATAAGGGAGCAATAAATATATTTTAAAAAAACATTAAAACACTTTATTTATTTAGGTGCTGAGGATTAAATCCAGGACCTTGCACATGCTAAGCATGTACTCAACTAGTAAGCTATACCCCAACCCCAGCAAGACATTTTAAACCAAGTTTGTCAGTTAATAACAAATTTAAGAGAATTGATATACATGCTAGATTTAAGATAATCTCCCCCTCCACAAAGGTTAGTGTAGTATCCTCTTTATTTTATTATTATTATTTGCCTACAGTGCTTTGTATACTCCTAGGCAAAGAGAAGATTTTTACAGAATAAACCCCAACAAAGTCTTTGCAGGATAGACTAGATGGAAGATATGATAATTTTAGCTGCCTTTTCAACCTTCTGGTAAATAGACTATTTCTTTTTTTTTTTTAATAGACCATTTCTATGTAAGAGTGTTTCACAATTAGCTGCACAAAAATGTGATTTGATTCCCTCATTCTTAGCCAAATTGTGGGTTTAGAGATCTCATTTGGCAAGGAATAACTTAGCACACTTTTCTGCAATGAAAAGAATGTCTGGAAATGACAGTGATGACCTGAGCCATGTTCCAGAAATGGTGCAGTTGAAGTCTAAAATTCTGAAAAAAAGGTTCTATGAGTTCAGGTTTTATGAAAATGACCTATCATTGTTCAGGCCTTCTTTCTTGATTCAGTCATCTGGTAAAAGACTCAGATGTGCGTGTCATRCCAGGTACCGCTGTAGTCACCGTACGCACAGCAATGGACAAATAACAATTTTTTGCCCTCATAGCATTAACATTAGTATTAATAATACAATTTAAGGGCTGAAAATGAAAATCATTAAACTGCAGGAAAAATCAGTACCAAAATTTAAAACACCATGTTGGAATGCAAAAATTTTACTGACATTTTAGCAGCAGTTAGGGGCAAATTTTCATAATTCAAATAATCTACTCACATCAAGAATTTATTCTTATGAACACTACTATCCATTATAAAACTAAATATAAAAGAATTCCATGCTGTTCAGCACAACAACAAAAAATAAAAGATCTGATATTAATATCTTTGTGCCAGAAAAAAAAAAAAGGAATGTGGCAGATGTGGTGGTGTACCTCTGGAATCCCAAATACTTGGGACACTGAGGCAGGATGATTGCAAGTTTGAGTTCAGCCTGGCAACTCAGCAAGATCTTGCCTCAAAATAAAATTTTAAAAGGTTGGAGGTAGAGTTCAGTGCTGAAGTACTGCCTAGCACACGTTAGGCCATGGGTTCAGTCTGTAGTACCACCTCAAAAAGAAGCAAGATAGGTGACATATTTATTGCTATAACTCAATTACAAAAGAAAACAAAATCTATGTTTTCTTTATTTGTCATTTTTTGAGTTTAAATTTAGTCATATGTTAGGCCAAATAGCATGCATTTCTATCATGCCATGTATTTCCAACATAGTTAGGTAAACACACAGATTTTATTTCTGGAAGGAAGGGGGAAAGAAAAGGAAAAAAGGAGGGAGGGAGGGTCTTTAACTATAGTGTGACATGATTCAACGGAGGAAAAAGTGCCTGGTATTTTATATACACATACTTGAGATCATGGGAGGAGAGGAGTCAGTGAACCTGTGTCCATGACATTGTGCCTGGAATTCTGGTCAGATATGGAAATGATTAAAACAGAATTTTCAATGTAACTAAAAGCAAAAGGGGTAAATGCAAACAAAGGACTAAAATACAGAGCAGATTAACATCAGCCCTGTCATCACAGAGGCCTACCATACGAGTGAGGAGCTGCCCCTCATCAGCATTAGCATAAGTCCTGTATGTGTTATTTAATCCTCAGCACAAACCTATAAGGTGGGCATTGGTATTCTTGCTTCACAGCAAAAACACTGAGTGTCAAAAATGTTAGAGACCTGCCTGCGGCGACACATGATAAAAATGTAATCCATACACGTTGTTTCACCATGACACCAATAAGAGAAAGAGAATGAATCCAAGCACAGGACTCTCATAAGGCTTTTAGAGGAGGAACAGGATTCGATGGATAGGATTCGAGAGAGAAAAATTGGAGCAGAGGTAGTAGAACTCCAGGCAAATGAAACAATTTGATGAAAGACAACAAAATAGGAGAGAGCAACACATGTTCAAGGGATACAAAAATGGCAACCAGGCTAGACTGACTAGAGCACAGGTTGCAGGGAAAGGTGTTAAATATGGCCAGGAGGCAGTACATCCTTGGTGACGGGGCACGGGCCTTACAGTCCAAACATGATGTCTGAGAGATGAATCCGGTACTTACTGGTTAGGTTTCCTTGGCAAGTTATTTGATCTCACTGAGCCTCGGTCTCCTCAACCTTGCCCAATTTTTTAATCTCAATGAGCCTCAGTTTCCTCAACTATAAAATGAATCAATACCAACTTTTCACAGGACAGTGCTATCAGGATGATAGGAGGTGGGCATGTGATCATGTCTGGCCAATCATCATTGTTCCTCTTAACATCTGGAGTACATGACATAAAGTCAGGATGTCAGAGAATTCATTCTGGTGGTTGGCAGTATAGGTGTAGCACCCTAGACTGAAAAATCCAACACTTGGGCACCATCACCATGCCACAAGTGGAAAATTCTACACGTGGCCTCATGTGACAAGTTCCAGTCAAAACACAGATACGCTAAAAATATATAAAATTACCTTCAGTCTATGTGTGTAAGGTATATATGAAACATAAATGAATTTTGGGTTCAGACTTGGGTCCCATCTCCAAGATATCTCATTATGCATATATAAATATACCAAAATCCAAAAAGATCTGAAATCCAAAATATTCCTTGTCTCAAGCATTTCAGAGAACAGATACTCAACTGTAATATCTAATTCAGAGACTTGTTTGTGAAGTCTTCTATGAGCATCTCAAACAAAATAAATCCCTCCTTTGTTCTGACAGCTCTGTACAGACATAAGGTATCAACTCAGAGTTCTTGCTCACAACTAAATTGTTAATTTCCTTGAATTCCTGGTAATAAGTCTGGTTATGACTTCACTCAGATCAACTCTTTATGATGAGTGTTTTTTTAATATTTATTTTTAATTGTAGTTGGACACAATATCTTTATTTATTAAATTTTTATGTGGTGCTGAGGATCAAACCCAGGGCCTCACATGTCCTAGGCAAGTACTGTACCGCCGAGCCACAATCCCAGCCCTGATGAGTGTTTTTTTAATGTGTTTTTTGTTGTTGTTATTGTTTTGTTTTGATACTAGGGATTGAAACTGGAGGAGCCACATCCCCAGCCTTTTTTATTTTTTATTTTGAGACGGTGTCTCCTTTAGTTGCTTAGGCACTTGCTAAATTGCTGAGGCTAACCTTGAACTTGAGTTCCTCCTGCCTCAGGCTCCTCAGTCGATGGGATTTCAAGCATGCACCACCAGCCCAGTATGGTGAGTGTTCTTTACCCTACCCTTGATTTTCCTCTTCCTTTTTTCTCTCTCTCTCTCTCTCTCTCTCTCTCTGGTAATATCTTCATACAGCTTTATTCTTCAGTTTTAAATTAGGTAAGTTATTCTGAAATAGCTATTACCAAAGATACAGATTGGGAAGAGTCACAGCTATATTCCAAGCTACCAGAGATTCTCCCACTTTGTGCTGAAGTTCTTCATCTATATTTGCAAGCTGTTTTAGCTTTTACTTTTCCCTGTGAAAAGAAGCAGGCAGCTGCCAGGCTACTCACAAGTCAGTCTCTCCTCTATCCAGCTCTCCAGGAGGCATACCTACATTCTTTCATTTTTAACTCTGCCTTCTTGATATTCCTCAGTGCCAACAAAGTCCAAGCAAGCATCTGTTTCATTGTTCCAAAGAAGGGATTGTTGGGCTGTCCCTTGGAGAGTGCTTCCTACTTTGTATGAGATTTACAGCTACGATCACCTCTGTCGGAATTGTCCCACAGGCTGCTGCATTTGGCAAACCTTCTCCATCCTTTTATGGCTTGAAGTTCTAAGAGTATTTTAATTTTGCTAAGGCCAGAGCTTGTATTTGTTCCTTATCCTTTTTATTGTCTTGAGCTGATTTCCAAGACTAAAAGAGGTCAGATCTGCCCTTGATCCTGCCTTTTGTAATTTTTAACATTTCTGTGATTTAATGTCTTAGAGATTCACATTTCCTACTCTATCACAGTGTAATGTCTGCCTCACTGTATTGCACCAAAAATCTAGATTCCAGGTGTATGAGTAAGAAGAGAATTGTTTATCTTCCAGCTGAGCTTACAGACATACCTACTATTAACCTCTTAGGGGCATGGAAACCACTTGTGGGCATAGGCACTTATCAGGAATCATTTTCAGAGCATTCATTAGAAGCAAGATTAAAAAAAAAATTGACCATTTCTGGCCTTACAAATTACTTAATGTATGTAAACTGACATACTCAGGAATTTTATACATTGCTGATACTGAAAAAAAAGTGTAAAAGCTGGGGCTGAGGATGTAGCTCAGTGGCAGAGTGCTTGTTAGCATGCGTAGGGCTCTGGGTTCAATCCTTAGCACTGAGATTGGCCGGAGTGGTGGGGTTGTGGGGAAAAGCATTAAAATTTCAAAATGAATTTCTTACCTGGATCTGATTCCGCAGTTGTTCTGCTTCCTGCCTCAGTTGTTCCAGTTCACTCATCCTTTGAATCTGTTTACCTCAGTAATTACCAAGTAAAAGTAACTGTTCAGAGAGAGAAGAGAGAGAGAGAGACAGGTTGACACTTAGTTGTCCATCTTCAAATTTACTTTTAAGACTCTAACATATAATTGTTTTTAGCCCTTCTGAAACTCTGGTCGATTATTACTAAAATTGACAGTTGCTTAGTAAGTATGGATCTGGGTCATTTACCGAAGGGTTTTATGGAGGAATGTGATGTGAAAGTTGTCAGCACCAAAACAGCCACTTATGTCAAACCCTGACAAAACAGAGCCGGAGGCCATGAAGGAGGAGACCCCAGACATGTGCCTATGAAGGAATTACCCAAGGAATTCCTGGAAACCACAGTGTTCTGGATAAGCCTGCATGCAGACACTTGCCTCACAGCTGCCTCCGCCATGGGCTAACACCAGCTCCTGCAACAAGCTATGAGAGCCAAAGGGCTTTGTTTCAAAACAGCGTCTGTGGACTTTGACCTTTTTTCTTTCGAAATCCTCTCCTTGCCCCAACTTCTCCGGATGCACCTATAGTCCCCCATACCATACATATCCCAGACAGCAATCCCTTGCCGTCTAGGGGGGAAAAAAATCTTGTTTTGGACCGTTGGTCTTTCTGTCACTCATGTTAGGCTAAGAGTGATCAGAAGAATCCTCGAGTTGTAGTATTTATAAATGAATTATAAACTGGGTATGGTAGTGCCCAGTGATTTGGGAGGCTGAAGATCACAAGTTTGAGGCCAGCCTGGGCAACTTAGTGAGATCCTGTCTCAAAAAAAAAAAAAAAGAAAGAAAGAAAAAAAAAAAGAAATGAAAAGGAAAGGAAAGAAAATGGCTAGGGATATAGCTCAGTGGTAGAGCACCCCTGGGTTCAATGGGAAACATGCCCCTCATACACAGACAAACTAAATTATACAGAAACATGCAGGACAGGAATCTAGTGAGAAACACTTTACAGCAGTTCACAGGGCAGCACTCAACATCTCCAACTGGCCTCCATATATGCACCTCAAAYTCAAAGCTTCAAAACTGAATCCACTCCACCTGCAAGTCCTCCTCATTTCAGTAAACAGCAACTCCATTCTTCCAACTATTAAAGATACAAATCTGAGAGTCATCCTTAATTTCTGCTTCTCTCCCACCCTCCCCCTCTAATCCATCAGCAAATCAAGTCAATTATTCCTTACAATATTATTTAGGATCCGACTGATTCTGATTACTTCCTCTATCTTGATGCAAGCCCTCATTATCTCTCACCTGGTCTCCTTCCTACTGACAGGATCACTCTCAGTCTAATCTAGGCAGAGCAAGTCGATTATTACTAAAATACCACTAAATATCACTCTTAAAATACAAGTCACTCTTAGGCTTTAAATTCTGCAATGGTTTTCTGCTTCACACAGAGTAAAGCCAACTCTGTATCTTGACCTAAAGAGCCCTGTACCTGTCTCTCATACATACCCACACCCTGCACACACCTACTCTTCCTTTGCCCCTCCCTTTTCTCCTCCAGTTGCTCAAAAGCTTTCTTGCTGTTCTCTGAATACACTAAGCGGACTCCAGCCTCAGTGTCTTTCAGTCCCCCTTCCCTTGGCCTGGACCACTCTTGCCTGTGACAGTTTCATTGCTTGCTTTCTTGTGTCTGCTCAGATGTTACCCTCTCAGAGGAGCTTCTGCTGATAGCACACACAYATACCCAACCTTCTCCCTTTCTAGGTCACCTACCCTGTCTTATATTTCACTATAGGACTCAACACAATTGAGCATGTATTTACCTATTTGTGGATTTGTTTCCCCCTTATAGAAAGCAAACTCCTTGGGGTAGGGTTTTGGTTTGCTTTACTCTTTGCTATACACCCAGCACTTATGACACTTGGTTTTCCAGTAAATAAGCGAACCTTAAATAGCTTAAGAAATAAAGGAAAACTCATTCTAAGGAATTAGAATAAATCACAGAATCGAAAGGCAGGAATATTACCATTTTAGGAAGAGATTTCCCCCATTGTGTTTTTACATCTTGTTTGTTGGAATCAGGATCCAATTAAGGACTACATGATACATTTTGTCATGTCTCTTAAGGCTCTCCATCTAGAAATAGCCACCTCTTGCTTTTTTTTTCCCCTGTGATATTTATTGATTCACTAGAGCCTAAGTTACTTGTCCTTAGAATGTCCTACTTTCTATTTACTTCTTGATGCTACTGTTTGTTTACTTACCCTCTACACTACCTGTAAACTGGAAGTTAGATTGACAGGATAGAATATATTCAGGTTAGAATATATTGTATGTATAGACTATATATACATATATATGGCAAGAATTAGGTGATCTATGGACTTCTTTTTAAAATATTTTTTTAGTTGTGGATGGACATAATAACTTTATTTTTATGTGGTGCTGAGGATCGAACCCAGTGCCTCACACATGCAAGGCGCGTGTTCTATCACTGAGCCACAAGCCCAGCCCTGGATTTCTTCATACTACAGTACATCAGAATGAACTTCCTGTTTTCTTTATGCCACTGCTAGTGACTCTCAGCTTGGTCAGCGAGTTCAGTTGTTAACAGTGTAATCTATCTAGTGGGGTGCTGGGTTTCGGTTAGCAACTAAAAGGCTCTGGGGCCACTCCAGTTAAATTGGGCTAATTGGGCTGTGCAAAATAATCACACAAGAGACACAAATATCTTTTTCTTTGGAGTCGCTGTGAAGGCTCCTCTGATCTTAAGGGTCCGCAGGAAAAGAGAGAGCTACGCTGACCCCTTTTATTGAGGAGAAGCTATTCAAATGAGGCAAGGGGTCAGGTTTCAGGGGGCTGAGTCTATCTTCATGATGTCCACTGTCAGCAGGTTGACTGACATCTGGGTAGGCCACACCCAAGGCCACAGTAAGAGAAGGGGACACACACTAGGCACTTCCATGGAAGATTCTATCTTAAACAGGGCAAGGGGTTATATTACAAAGGAACAGGTATGCGTAGCTCCACCCATGGGGCTGTAGCAAGACACACCCAAGCACGCGACACCGATCCTCGAACCCAAGAAGGGTGGGGAAAGCTCTGCCACATTTCTGTGACTGAGCACCTCAGCACCAGCTGGGGAGTGTGACTCAGTCAAGTGCAAGGTTGGTCTCCCACAGAGGGGGACTACAGCTTTATCGTTTCATTCAGTAAGTTATCTGCAAGGAGCCTCTGACTTTCAACTGGATTCTTACCATCAGCAGTTAAACATGCCCAAGTCTCTCCCTTTAAAAAGAGTGTGGTGGGGAGGAGAAGGCAGTCAGAGGCTACGGCAGTTGTGGTTCAAGTGGATCCAGGGACAGCTCGTGCTGGTTGATACTATCCATATGATGCTGGCTTTGCAAGCCTGCAGAATGTAAGAGTTATGGAGTCTTGGAAGCTTCCACCAAGATTTTAAATGGAAAGCCTGAGTAGCTGAGCAGTGTGCTGTGGAGTGGAATGGAAATGTGGGAGTGAAGCTAAAACTGCAATGGAGACCCAGGGAAGGTGAAGACGTCAGCAACGGGCAACAATTGTCAAGGAAAGCTATGGGCAGCACACAGAGTCAGCCCAAGAGAGTGGACATGTGCACTGCCTCCAGCAAGGCTGAAAGAATGGGGCTTCCCAAGTCCTGGCAGCCCACGTCTTGCCACAGTGTGACCTGGATGGAGCCTCAGGATTTAATGTTTACCCTACTGTGTTCTGGTCTTGATTCAGACTGATCCTTCCTTACTATTTTCCTATTCCAAGCTTTTGAAATAAGAACATTTACCTTGCATTTATCTTACCATTGTGTCTTGGTGGTATGTGACTTTCTTTTTTATTTTTATGGGTCTCACATTTGAGTTTGTCTGGAGTCTTGAAGAAGACTTTGTACTTAAACATTTGACCAATGCTGGAACAGTTAAGACTCTGAGGACTCATGGGCATGGACTGAATGCATTTTGCATTATAAGATGGACAAGAGCCACTGGAGGCCAGGGCTGGAATGCTACAGTTTGGATGAGTGTTCCCCAAGGGTCTAGGTGTTAAAGGCTCAAACCCTAGTGTGATATTCTTGGGAGGTGGTGAAACCTTTAAGAGGTGGGGCCTTACGGGAGGCTCTTAGGTCACCGAGGGCCTTGAAGGGAGTAGGGGACCCCAGGTCACTTTCTCCTCTTTTTGCCTCCTGGCTGATAAGGTGAGTGGTTTGCTCTGCCCTACAGTCAAACCATGGTATGCACCTTGCCAGAGGCACAAGGTTATAGGACTAATTTTCATGAGCTGGAACCTCCAAAACTGTGAGCTAAAATAAACCTTTTCCCTTTCTTTATAAAAAATATTTTTTTCTTGACCATATATCTCACCATCATCTACAATCCTTCTCTTAATTAAATACTTCTAAAGAGAGCTGCCTATCCATGACCCCATTTCCTCACGTGGAATTCTGAATTCTCAAGCCTTGTTCATGTCTAGTAGACCTGGGCTGATTAAACAGGCATGATGGAAAGCGAGTGGGCAGCTATAAGGCAAGAGGCTGTCTGAGAAATGTTTCTAAGCCACAAAACCAGAATCCTTGCGATGTTAGTGCCAGACAACTGTGAACTTTCTTTGGATAATGTCAAAGCTGCCTTTCCCCTGTTCTTCCCTCTCTGCTGCTAAATACAGGAACTAACTTTTCATTCTTTAAGAAAATCAGGAGAGAGAACATATTGCACAGATTTCCTAGGTTAATTTTTTCTTCTTGTCCAACAATTGTCAGATTCTTTAGAGTAACAATAAAGTGCAATTCTAACGTAAACTCATAGACAAGCCTAGAGGCTATCTAGGGTAAAATGAGGCTATAAGATGCCCTAGGTGAAAGCTAAGATGGTTAAGTTCTAGGAAATTATGTTCTGAAGGTGAGGATTCAAGATTAAGGGTAAGCTGTGTATTGATGTGTATGCATGTAAGTATAAGCTTGGAATTCCTGGGAATAATATTTCTGCATCAGGTATAATTTAGTAAGTAGCTCCCTCAAACTGTACACCTAAAGCATGCTCAAATTTTGAGAGA